AATCCTATCCTCTCCTTCATCATTTGAATTCTTTCTTTTCCCTGTTGGACTTCTGAGTTGCCGAAAACGCTGAGGCGTGCTTCGCCTTATCGTTGAAGCACTGACGACAAATTACAACGCCACCCAACTTTTCACACTGAGTGCACCGGCAGACATTTTTAAGTTTCCTCCCCCGAGGCTTATTCTTCCGCTTAGGGTTGGTTGGGGTACGACCGTCACACATTCTCGACATGCAACAGAAGCGTTGTGTTCCCCTCAGAGTTTGAAGGTTGCCACCCCCCAACTCAACACTGAATGTCGACACTGGAAGGGTGCTTTTACGCCCCCGACCCCCCTTTTCGGCGTTGCCAATATTGCACGAAGGCATGAGAAAGCAGCTAAGTTCCTCATCCAAACTCATCTTGACTGCTTTTCAACAATGGCCAAACGCTCGCTCTCCTGTCGCAGCCCCTTGAGAAGCAGCCCATCGGCAGTTTCTTCGCCTTCGAACACCCCCCTTTCCTCCAATTGATCGATCGCCTCCTTCACCCCACTCTGCATGTGTCTCAACCACCAGCGAAACATCAACCACGCGTTCGTACAGGCCTGCATCAACTTCTGCTCAAATAGACGTCGCCAAAAAACATTTTCAGCACGGTGTTGTGTCTGGTACGCACCGTTGTGCTGGTCCGATATATCTACTCCCCCCATGAACTTGTTGTAGTGAAATCTACACCAAGGCTGGAACCCGTCGGCCTTCTTCGCCTGTCCCGCCACGTGCTTGCTGTCGGTGTGGACGAATACAGCAAGAGCGCACGGGGCCGAACGTATGGAGTTCTGTGTCAGCATGATCGGGGTATGAACCTCAGCAGCATCTAGACACGCACACACCCGTACAACCAACTCCTGGACACATATCGTGCCAAGAATATCAGAACCATACGAATGTCATAAACACCGCGCCCACCTGTACTCGTTCGGTAGAAAGTGCTTCGGGCTGAGGTGGATTGTGGACAAAAAATTGACGAGCTTGGAATCCTTCCACTGCACAAACACCAAGGACCCGAACCTCGCGAAGACCATCTCGCCCTTCTTCCTGACATACTGTCTCGTGGTAGACCAGTACTGGATGGCCTCTTTCGATCCGCGGTGTGTATCCCTCAGAGTTCCGACGGCAAAAATCCCGTGCCACAACAGACACATGAAGAGGATGGGCGAGGTGAAATAATTGTCGCAGGCCATGTAGGTCCCTGACCTAAGCAACTGCGCCCCAAATGCCGGGCACGCGTGGAACAGGACAGAAATCACCATTCGGCATACTCGCCCCAAAGGACAATTTGCCCACATGCGAATCCTCGGATCTCCGGTGTAGCCGCCGTCCGTGTATCCCGTGGAACAGTACCCGGTCCAGCAACATACCCCCCAAATCTTCACCCCTGGAAAAAACGTGGTAGGCATACGGGGGTGGTAGTGGGGGTGGTGAGCTAAGTCGACTGGTTCGAAACAAAGCACTTAATGTGCCGTAGCAGCAGTCAAGAGTTTTGGGGCCAACTTAGGAAAGCAGCATGCCATTTCATCACTAACACGGATTACAAATATTTCCTTCCATGGACGAATGGAAGACAACCACGTAAAAACTGATCGATTTGGGTGAGGGGGGGCCGTGGACGGGGCTTGGGCATGGCACAAAAGTGTCTCGGCCCTACACGGTACACGCTGTTTGTACACAGTGCATGCTGCCCGTGAGTTACACTCACCATTCTTGATGGGCTTTTTCGGCATATGCCTCAGCATGAACTTTGCGGAACGGCTGACACACTTGACCATCTGCTCATCGAAGGAGATCCATCGGCCCACCAGAGCGGCTCCACTTCAAGCCGAGTTCAACATGGACTCCACCTCACTACCAGTAGACAACGAGGCGAAGTCGCGGCAGGAGTCGGGGAGCGACCATGGGTGTGACCGGGGTGGGGGTGGGGCTGGGGGTAGGTAGCGTTGGTGCCTCCTGCATTCGACGTATCAAATGCCTACCGTATGGTATACCATGTTTTACCCCCGTGCACGGGGCAAGAGTTGAAACGGGGGTAATCTTTTTTGTGCAGTATAACTCCCGGCTGGGGGGGGGAAACAGTGTTTTCATGGCAGCGAGTTCCACATTCACCTACATGGAAGCGGCAATCAAACATTTTGGGCCCATCTGCCAGACGTTGTGTGGGTATCCGTGTGCGTGTGTGCGTTGGGGGGGGGGGGGGGGGCGTGTGTCTTTTCGACCGTTGTGTTTTTGTCGTTGGGGAGCAGATTCCGACAAGTACTATTGAGGCACGGCCTCGCACTCAAAACCGGGCGCCAAAAACCTAATGGGCGCCAAATATCAACTGTCATTGCTTAGAGATATCTCCAATTTCCACGGACAAGCCAGCTTGACAATTCATACCGGATATCGTGTAGCGAATCCCCAACCCTCCTCAACGGTCCCGTCCTGGAATCGTTTTGGAGCCGCCGGGCTTGCCATGTGAAAAAAACGGCCGTAGATCAGGAGGAGCATGTCTCGCGGGAGGCAAGCACGCACGAGCTTGTAGTCGTGGAAGGAGTGACAGCTCCAGTGGTCCTGCAGCTCCGGCAACTGGGCCTGTCCGATGGCAAGGGTGATCCCGATGACACCTAGCATCATCTTCGTGGTGATTTCCCCCCTCGTCCACACGGATTTATCTTTCTTCTCTTTCTTGTCGCGGTGACGCTGCTCCTGTCCCTTGGGGTTCTTTGTGCTCGTGCAGAACTTGAAGTACTCGTTTGTCTGTCGCGACGGTAGCCGTGGGCGGTGGGCAAGTGCGAATGGGTAATCAAGAGTGTTCAGAAAGTGAACTGAGGGTGTACCATGCGCCACAACCCAACCACCCATTACGGTTCAATCACGGCATGAACACGTGACGAACAGCTCCCCCAAAAAAGCAACAATTGCTGCCCTTGCATGATCAAAGACACAACAGGAACGGGCGCTTGCACTAACCTTCAGGACCAGGTGTGAGATCACCGCCGCCGGGAACATGATGCAGAAGAACGTGAACGCCAGCTCGCCTGGCCCATCCGCCGAAAACCTGCCCAACTTCTCGGGGTCAAACTTCGGCAACGCGTCCAAAGTTGTCTTCGACGGTTTGAACTTCAAATCGTGTCCCTCTCCCGCTTTATTACGGTGGCAATCGTAGTACCCGTGCCCGTCTCCTCGGTAGGAGCCTTCACCGTCAAAATCAAACCCACCACCCCCACATGAGCCCGCAGCACCGCCCCCCGCTCCGGTACGACTCCTGTCGTCATCTGCTGCACCCTCTCCCTCACCCCTATTCCGCACGGTGCCGCTCCTACTGCTGTCACAGTCTCCACCGCCATTTCCACCACGGGCATCCTTACCGCTGCAGCGGCTGCCGTCGTATCCAGCGGTACGACCTACATTTTTCATGCCGCGTGTTGTCCAGACGTGCTCATCGGTGGTATCTAGCCCCTCTTCGCCCTTCTCCTCCTCGCCTGTCTCACCACCCCCCTCCGGAGCATCCTTGTGGACCTTCGACTTGGCCATGTTCTTCTTCTGTTGTGGACGATGGCATGGAAACAACCGGGCATTGCAGAGAACAGGGTAAGGGCGGGGGGGGGGGGCGTACTCTTATGTTTTGCATGCCTTAACAGTTAAACCATTGACCACCCCCCCTCAAAAGGGTAGGGGCGGGGGTGGCTAAAACGGTCAGGGGCCATTGTTGCCATCCCATCACGTGATAAAAAAATTGTGGACTGGCGTTAAACATACGATGGTAAGGGGTGCAAGGACGAGGTGGACACATCAAGAGGACGATAGGGGCGGGGGGGCGGGGGGAGACGGTATCGCACACTCACAGCAGCATCAACGACGCTGCTGATGGCTACGAAACAAAATTATTTACAGCAATACACGTTTGCAGAGTGGGAGAAGCAACAACAAGCATACACAAAGTGGTGCACGACCAAAATCAAATTTCGTGCAAGGGACACAAAAAACAACACCCGCCCCCCCCCATCGGTGTTTGCTATCGGGATTGGGTTTTTGTCGCTTGGCAACGACGTTGTAAAATATGCCAAGTCACTTCGTGAACTCGGCAACCAGGTTACCGTTTTATTTTTTTACCTCTGTTTTTTTTTTGCGGTAACCATGGGTGGTCGAGTAGCTCATGTTGTGCGGGGTCGAGAACCCTCACTCCGCGCAAAGGGGATGATCGCACCACGTTGTGTTGAAAAGGTCAAGCATCCTCGAGGCAGGTACACGGTGCTTCTAACTGTCTCTGGAAATGAAAGCACCAGAAAATAAACTAAGTGATACGCAGCTGTCATCTGTGTGCAAGGAAGTATGCACAAGATGCCGAACACCCTAATCAGGATGCAGCGCACCGTTCATGCGACTCGTCGAATGTCTCACGGCGCTTTGCGCTTGGTGATGTGAGAGCCTGGTCCGGTGCGAACCCGGCGTGCTCTGTCCCGGCTTTGTAGGAATGCGAGGTCAATGGTCTAACGACTACGGCATGCACGACTATGAGTACACCCCCCCCCCCCCCACCCCCGGGGGGGTGAGTAGTTGAAGTCCAAACCCCCTGTACATCAAACTTTTT